AGCAACATTCTTGAATGGAAAAGAATTTACCAGAGTATCAACTTAATGCCTTCACTATTTCTTTCCAAGAAAAGGCCAAGAGAGTTCATTAAACCACTAACTGGAAAAATAAGAAAACAGATACTATTCTAATACAACAACTGCTGCTCACTGTGATCCTTGCTGCATCTTCTGGTTTCCTGGTGCCTGAAGTCCTACATTTGTAAAATGGGGGACTTTAATCCTCATTGTGCCAGAGACTCAGAAGTTTTTAAATTATTTAGAAAGCACTTAGTTTTTTTCTGAGCGTGCTATATTAAAAGGCTGCACAGATGGTAAAGTCCATTGTCCAGGACTGAGTATTTGCACAAAAAATGCTCACCCCGAATATCTGAGTTTTTGATAAGTTCCAGTTGTTCAGCAAGTTCCTTCACGGTCTTATCCAGGCTTTCTGCTTCTGTCTGTAGAGAATCTAGTTCTTTGACTGTGCTGTTGCTTTGGGAAGCTGTGTCAGACAATTTCTCTTCTATTTCAGCCATCCTTACTGTAACATCTTTGGTTAGTTTCCTATAAAGAGAAAAGCAAGCTGACCTATGTAAAATACACCAAAGGCGAATTTTAAATATTCATTTTTATATTTTCTATTCATACCATATGTATTAATACTCTGTCATTTCAAACAAATCCAGTTATTTGTAACAATTCATCTAAGTACTAAGTTTATTTTCCTTTTCATAAAAGATTATTTCATCATCTAATACTTTTTCTTTTTTTCAAAGATTTTAAAGTAAAAGACAAAAAGTATGACTTAGCCGTGTTGTGGCACATAGGCAGGCCATTTGAGGGATTCCAAATCTCTGCTGTAATATGAACACAGGTCAGAATATGCAGTTCTAGCTATATAGCAAGCAGCTTCAAGCCCTTGCAATTGTGAAAACTCTAAAGACACAAATGACTCCAGTGTAGAATTATGCCTCCCAGCCACCTTCCAGAAATTCTCGGAGCCTCAGGGATCTCCTTCGAGATGGAACAAGCAGAGAGGAAGCCCTCTAGCCCCACTAGGAAGACAACAGGAGGCGCCCAGATTAGCTTTTCATGTGCTCCCCTCTTCAGCAAGATCCCAAAGGAGCCTC